ACGGGCTTGTCCGCACGAGCAAAGATGTGGCGTCGGCCAGTCGCATTGCTTGCAATCGTCTGAGTGACAAAACTTAGATAATTAACGCCGCTCAACCCTTTGAAATAATGGGGAAAGAAACCAGAAACGAGTGATCGTGTTTTTTATGTGTTTCATGACGTCACAGAAGTGTGTGCCAGTGACAAATCTTAGAACGTTGCAGCGAGCGAGGCGAGTTGGTAGCGCAAGTGGATACTGCGGAGGAGCGGGGTCTGGACCCTGTCGATATAGTTTATATTTTACCTTTCGCTGATCTTCGGTAGCATTCCAGAGGCTTCTGGGCAATTATCGGGTGTTCTAAATTGAAACCTTTCTCAACATGGAACGTGTATAAAACCAGCCCTAGCTCACTGCTTCCAGACAGTCGCTTTATCGCTCCCGTCACAGGATGTACTACACTGAGGGCTGTAAATGTTCAAAAATGCCCCTCAGACACAGTTACAGTTATTCATGCAGAAAGTACCTGAGTAGTTTCTGCATGAGTACATTCTTCGATATTCATTGAAGAGTGTACCCCAGATAGAGTTAGGGAAAATATACTTTCTATTCTCATGAAAACGGCGAATATTTCTGGCCTCGACCACCAAAGAAGACCTCGGCCAACAAAAATGTCGAGCGAAACTTTGATGGGGAAACCGTAAATAAAATTTTAAAAATTTAACACGTTCACCATCCCCTGTAATGCCAAATTAAAGCGCAGCTCTTCAAGAGGAGGAGAAGGTATGGAGAGGATGTTATATGCCCCTCCTCCTCATCCGTACCCACCCCTCCTTCTCTCCTGCCTCCCTCTCATTTAGCGAAAAATATTTCCTAAATTTCCCGCTAAATTTAACCGGACAATGTTTCCGGTAATTTTAGCGGGGAATATTTTTCTAAATTTAGCGGAGAAATTTTTCTGCTACATATAGCAAGGAATATGTATTGCTAAATATAGCGGGGATTTTTCGCCACTAAATTTAGCGCAAAAATATTCCGGCTAACTTTAGCGGGAAACCTAACCCGCTAAATTTAGCGGGAAAACTCTGACGTCCCATAATGCGACGTGAGCGGTTACGCCGACGCCGCTCAACCCGGAAACGGGCGCCTAAGAGCTGGGCTCTAATAAAATGTTTGTCGGCTTTACAGATAATAAAAAAATAGATAAATAAACGAGTTAACCAAAATTTCGTTCTGGTTGGCCGAGCGTTTGCTTGGCTTACCGCGTGCACTTTTTTCCTTCTTTTTTGTGTAGGGAGATACTTTTTGAGCGTTGACCGAACGTAATTGCTTTTCGTCGACTAGCACAGTTTTGGAATTTGGCAGCTTGACACGTGATGTGACGCGTGACGCGGCGCAGGTGTAAAAACCGAAAACTAACAAATTTTGGCAACCAGTATTGAAGAAGGCTCGTCACAGGCCGAAACGTGCTTCAAAATACCAACAACGCTGCGAAGTGCGCCTTCATTACTTTATACTCTTCGGCACCCTAAGATATATTTTCTTTACATATATTTAGAGAAAGAGAGAGAGAGAAAGGAAGGGGAAGAGAAAGTGAACATGGTCGTTTAAAAGTCAAAGTCGCTGTTGGATAAAAAAGAAACATTTCACGAATATAAAGAAAAAGAAAACGGGGAAACTAAAAAGCATGGCGAATTTGGGAAAAAAACACCACTCGACGCGCTAAGCAACGTTAAAGGGATACTGAAGCGAAATTTGAAATACACCTATTATGGATAGAAATAGGTTCAATATGATCAATGATATTCATAAATCATAATCGCGCGTTTGTATTTTGAACGGATGGCTATATTTTTCACCCTAATGGGCCCGATTGGGCGCGCGCTCAAAAATCGGCCATCAGAGAGCGCGATGCGTCTTGGGATATTGGGCGCATTCGTGACGTCACTTGTGCCAGACGGGAAAGGCTACGGCGTGAATGTTGTGGTTACGAGCGTTGCCACTTGGTGGCGCGTCGACGATTTACCACCTGTGACAACGTGGCCGTTTGAGATGTGCAAGGGCCGCACGCACGCTGCACCACGGCAAGTCGGCAACCACGGCAGCACTGACAAAACCAGCTCTGAGGCCGGATTCTCAAAGCGAACTCACGACGAAAAAAGTGCGTACGACAAATTTGAGAGAAAACCCGTACTCTCGAAACGAAATTGTCGTAACCTTTGCGCAGGTTACGACAGAATCCTACGACAGCTCCGAAGCTGTCTTACGCACTTTTTACGATCAAATCAACAAGGCAGACAGCGTCGCTCAGTTACTTGGTATCGGCCACCAATGGACATTTATTTTTCTACGTGCTCTTCTCGTGCGTCCCGGCTTCAACCAGCAAGAAAAAAGGAAGGAGTACTTAAAACAGACCACGACGATCAAGAACGCAGGATCCACAAACACACGAGAAGAGCTACAACGGCCACGATTCTGCCGACCGAGCGAGCTCGGAAGAATATAGTAGGCCTAGCAGCAACATCGACTCGGCGCACCGTTGCTCCGGCGGTCCTTGGCCAAGACCGTCTGTCCATGACCGGCTGGCCTGCTGAATGGAATATGCCCGCGCGACCCTTGTGGACCCTTACCGGATGAGTAGTTTGATCCCTGAACTAAATTTCAGAGGTCAATATTTTCCCCTTGTCATCTCGATCTCCTAGTTTTCCGAGACAGCGGTGACGAACGCTGTCGTCGAAAAGGGACTCTCATTGATTCTATCTCCTTGTTTTGTGTGATATAGAGCTCAAATAAACGCCATACAGATTACCTTCGCCACTCGGTATGTACACTCTGTTATTAGTATGCCATTTTTATTCTGACTCGACGCAACGTCACTGTCGAGCTATAGCAGTTCGTGAAAGCTACGCGATGTCGGTCTAACCTTTCTTTGCCGAGTGTCATGTCAGTATCGAGTTGTAATCGTAAAAGATCGGTCCAGAAGCGCTTACCGAAACGCGGTCTAACAGAGCGAATCCAGCACTTCGATCAAACGCGCGTGTCCGCTCCGAGTGTGAACAGCTATTTGCGTGGCTCTAGTTCAACTATATCCTTTTTAACGTCGGCTCGCAGCTCGCGACTCGCAGCAACTAATACCGGCCGTGCCAGAAGCATGCTCGGGTCGTGTCGTGCAAAGAGCCGCAACGAGAACGAACTCACTGTGGCCAACCACGCTTTGGCTTTCTCCGCCAAGGCTTTGCAAACGCGTTCAGGCCTAGGCGAATTCTGCCGGCACGCCGTATTGCCGCAGAACGGCGCTGCTATTATGCCACAAGTGATGTCACGAGAACTTCCCCCCATCCACCAGATGAGAATTTGAAATCGTTTAATTATGTTTAAAATTAGTTCTCCTGTGTTTTACAGCGCAATATTTATATTTCCGAGGTGGTGCCTGTCCCTAGCCCATATTTATGCAACAAGATCGGCGCTAAAATTTCGTTTCACTACCGCTTTAATGCATGCCATCTCACATCTGTTCGGCAAAAAATAACAATAAATACTTATGATCATGAAATATATTTTCTCTGCTAAAATGTCTGAATGATACCGTCTCCATGTCCAAATGTATCTCCTCAAATGATAAAAAAATATTCGTAATAAGGCCTGCTTATTTACTCAGAGGATGCGAAAGCACAAGTTCGAAGCAGCTGCTTTACTAGTGCGTCAACGCAAAAAAATATAAAAACGCAATTTTTCATGAACACTGGGCAGCAGGCATTTTGCTGCTTTATTCGCCTTTAGAACCAGAACCTCCTCGAAGTGTTTGTTTGACATCTTCGATCGCAGTTTAGAAGCGATTGTCCCCCCACGCGTTTCGCATTTTTCAAGCCTCGGGAATCAGAAACGACTGATAAAATTTCTCGCTGTAGGGTCCTAACGAAAGAAACATCGCGCTATATGTTTGAAGCGGCGTTGTGCGCACCACTCTCTTGACCGCATTCGTCGGCGTTAGGTCGTTTTGTGACCAAAGTCTTGTATTAGCTCGACTCTTGCTGAAGGTTAACAATACCTTTCTGACCTTCAAAACCTCCTTTAAAAAAGAAAAAGAAACGCAGCTTAATGAGAAACAAAAACAAGACAAAGCACAAATGAATGATAGTGAATGCGGCAATAAGGTGGTGATATATTATCACGCTTAAAAAGTAATGGCAAAGTAACCTGCATTACATTTCATTGTTCTCTGTAACGTATTACTTGTATTTTGAGGTTATGTAGGGACGGTGACGCATCACTTTTATTTCCAAGGAACGAAGAACGTATTTCGTTACTTCTTTACGACGATCAAATGCCACCTGAATTTATCTCGATGTTCGTTATCTCTGACTGAATGTGCACTTCGGCTCCAACTCAGCGCGTCAATACTTACAAGTTCTTGCTTTCTATAATTTGGCAAGAGCGAACAAAAGGTACCTGCAAAAAGTTACTTCACCTAGTTACAAGTTACTGGAAAATGTACCTAAGATACAGGTACAGGTAAAGCATAGTAAAAGTACCTAGGTTTGTACCCTGGGTACAACAAAAGTACATAGTTACCGATTTGCACTTATTTGTACCTAGGTTCTTTGCAACCCTGCCTACGTTTTATTTTTCCTTTTAAATTCAGTTACAGGCACACGTTCCACGCGTTCCACTGCTTTTTACTATCCGTGGCAGCAGTTTTAAAAGAATTTAATGTTTTTTTTTTCTCTCGTTTAACTGAGAGATAAGGGTTCTACAGAAGTACTGAAAAATTGTCAGATTATCTTCTCATAAAATTGTAAACGCAAAAAAGTACCGAATATGCCAATAATAATAAACGCTGAAAACCACCGGCCAATTTCCCCTTAACATATGAACAGCGAGAACGCGAAACCGGAGATATATTCGGGACAAATGGTGAATAAAAGAAAACCTTTCATTTGTATGCAAACCGAAACCTTTTAGCTCCGGACTCAACTTGGAAAAGTATCCGTGTATTAAGCGATGTTTGTGGTCTCGCAACGCAGGTAACCTCCACGGAATGCCTGTGTCGTTCCTTTTGCACGAGATGGCGCATTTCGTCACGAAGCCTCCAAGTCTGGAATGGGTGCAACCCTGGTGAGAGAAACAAAAAACAGTTAGAACTATCCGAAAATTAGAATAGAGTATGAAATCGGATGCCGTAATACTCAGTTCCACCTTACGAGTGTACAGCAGCGGACGCTACAAGCCACTTCAGCTAATCCAGCGCTTCGAGCATGTCACGTGACCATGCACCCGTGAGTCGGTGCGTACTCGCGTAGGATTTGATTGTTTTTGATCAAAGTCCTTGTATAAAGAAAGTAGTGCCTTGCTCCATTTTCCTCGAGAATTTCTCGTTCGTTTTTTTTTCTCTGGCACTAAGATATTAAAGCAACACCGTATTATGCCCAAGCTAGGACCCTAGGATTGTCAAGCTTATGCAAAGATACGCGCCTCTCTGGCGAGCTATCTAGGCAGGTAATTTATGCGTAGATGGTACGTAACGTCCTCTGGGTACTATCTTAAGGTGAAATTAAGCGTTATCCGGTTCATGCCAAAATATTACGATTTCACAAATTTCGGCAGAAAAGCTAGAGACAATTTTTATGCTTTGACTTAGAATCTGGTCCCAGATGGTTGCTCTTTAATAGGTTTCATAGGAAATATTTTTTTATATATTGACACTGTAGACATTTTATGCACGGAAAATTAAGTAAGACAAGATTCAGTCTTCATATTCTGTTTTGCCCGAAGTTTTATTTTCTATATTCACTTCATCGCCTATGATCACCTCTCGAATTCTTGACACAGAACATCTGTCAAGCTTATTTATTACATCACGAACTAGACAGCTTATCTTTTCTCTAGGAGGAGGACCGAGATATAATAGTTATTAACGTTGTAAGAAAAAAAGAGTGTGTCTCTGAGCACGCTTAAGCAGCAATCGTAGCCAGTGATAAGCTCGCAGAAACCACACGAGCAGCCTCTTCCCAGATATGCGATAAAGTACTTCCTTATGTCATCGAGTTCTCTCGTCGGCTTATCTCAGTTATGCAGAGTGGAGGCATTATCTGCCGGAGAAATTATTTTTCTTTTTGTTTGTTTCAACGTGTCAATAAAATGTTTAGGCGAGCGAGACCAAGCATTTGGGCCGCGCAACTACCTAGTTGCATTATCAGATATGCTTTTTAAGCATCTTTTCAGCAGCCTTTCTTATGTTTAGTCGTCGCAATAAAAAGAGAGACTAGGGTTTTGTGCAAAACACATTTCAGGTCGCCAAAATGCCATCTTCGTAATGTGAGATGATATTTTTGTTGGACTGGTGGCACTAGATTATTAGAAGTTCAACACAGTTGTGAAGACTCAACCGCTTTTTACAGGTTGTAGTATCCTTAGATTTTCTATAAAAAAAAATCAAAATGTTAACTTCAATTCCTAACCTCGGCATGCGCTCAGAAATGTTTTAGTGCTTGGCTTGCGCGCCAACAAAAACTATTCATTTTTTTTTGCCTTTCAGTGTTCTACGTTATGTATGTATATCTAGCAACTAAAACCAAACAAACAAAAAAGAAAACCCACAAAACGCATTTGTAGAGCGCTGCCGCCTCTTAGCTATTTAACATTGCGTATTCGAACATACTTTGTCGTATAAGGAACTACTTTGAGGGAGCCTTAATTCTGAAGTGTTTACTATCTGGTTTAATACTAACTCAAAATGCGATAAAAATGCTACGACCTCTGAAATGTTGCCTGCTATTGTACCTGCGTCGAGCATGGTCGCCATACCTGCAGAGGTTCAGGTTCTTAAATATCGTTGTTTAAAATAATAAAAAAATCTTTATTTTTGACAGAGACATCCCTGGTTGGGGCGAGACTAAATTAAAAAAGGGGGACGTCCAACCAGGCCCTAATTAGAGACCCAACATTTGTGCATTTCTTTATTTAATGTGGTTGTTGTTAAATTCAGTTTTGTTTGTTACAGGAGTGATGGTTAATAAAACTCTCATGATGCCTTAGAGAATCGTGAAAAACTACGATCCTAAAAATCCTCAAACAAAACAATCAATATAAAAAGAACAGCACAGCGAGACAAGAAAACATAACACCAACAAAAGTACTGAAACGATTTGCACAAAATTCTTAGGATAAAAACACCGAAAGAATAACCTTGAACAGAAAAAAAAATCATTACAAAAAACTTTATTAAAAATTAATAATATTCAACTCGTGCAATGTTGAATTCATAATTCGCGAATGTTGTTCTTTTCTAGCGTCCACAAAGAAAACTTCGCCTTTATCGCGCTGAGGGATGTAGACTCATATGAGAGGTAAGTCAATACAGACTGTACTGAGACCTATGAAACAATTAAATCGTAGGAGTTAAAAGCGTCAATATCGGGAAATATAACTGTAAAACTGGCCTATTAGAAACTAAGTGCGTGCATGTATCTAGATATGGCTACAATTGTAATTTGTTCAACGTCTGCACCTGATAACACGTGACCTTCGTCCTGTGTTAGGTACTTCATCGACCACCTGGGCATAACGACGTTCGGAATGGCCGAGATTGATCGCGTAGGGATAAGGGAAACCATACAGCGCGTGCTGAAGAAGATCAATCCCACGTAAGTCTGACAACAATGTAAAATGAGGTGGCGCAAGCTACCACCCGTTATAAAAGGTATGTCCATAAGCAGAGCTGGCCAAATTACTCATATTTTGTAATTAAATTACATTACTAATTACTTTGCTGAAAATTTCTGAAATGTAATTAAATTACATTACTAATTACTTTGCTGAAAATTTCTGAAATGTAATTAAATTACATTACAAATTACCACAGCCAAAAAGTAATTAATTACCATTACAAATTACTTTTAAAAGTAATGACATTACTTTCGCATTACTTTTGTACACTTTAACAGGCTGCGCCTACACAGGCACAGCCTGTGTAGGCGCAGTTTCAAACACTGCTGGCGGCTAAATTCTCGTGTTTTCTCACTGCATTTTGTGTTTCATGGTGCATGTATTTTCCCGAGAACATTGGAAAGCATTTTACTACATTTGAAAAAAAAAAAAGCAGTAAACTATTTTTGTTGGGTACGCGCGTGACAGAACGAATGCGACGGGAATGTTAGTTTTTTTTTTTTTTTTTTGTTTTCTACGCTAAGTTTTTACGGCGCCGTTCGATTAGCCGCGTGTCAAACGACAAAGCGTTTAGCTGTCGAAATTAATAAACAACAGAAGATAGCCGAAAGGCATGCATTTTTCACGCTCATAAATAACATGTTTACCGATAGACCGAGGAACGCATGCGACTGATCCGTTTCCCACCCCAACCCGGACAACTATTTTTGGAGATGTTTGAGGACCCTACGCGGATTATCTCTGGGAGGGGGGAGAACAATTGTCATTGTTCGCAAAATCGCGTCGAGGACCGTTCCACCAGGGGCCTTAGTTCGACCTACTTCCCCTCCTTTGTTTCCCGAGAATGTCGAGCAGAAAAGCTCGAAGGGCAGAAACTTACCAGCCCTATGTCTCACAGTGGAAGATAACACAGAGAGGGTACGCAGCATGCATCAGGAAAAGTAAGCGGACACTTTTAAGAGGGGCCAGAAAACGTCGAATGCAAAACCGCAAAACATAGGTAGAGAATCGCGCTGAGCGGGTTTTTACAGATCAAGAGAGTGGCAGAAAATGTCTAGCTGATAGCGGGCGCGAGAGTCGCACCAGCCGCATTAGCATCAGCAACATAGCGGCGGCCAAAGAGCGTTTTTTGCAAAGGTGTAGAGGAAAAAGAAAAAGTAAAATGAAAAGAAAAGCGCTCTTGTGTATTGTGGACACAAAAAATATGCCTGGTGTGAAAAAGTAATTAGGTAATTTAATTACAATTACCGTCGCCGGAGTAATTCATTACATTACTAAATTACCTGCTACAAAAAGTAATGAATTACACTACTAATTACTGCAACAAGTAATTAAATTACTGTAATTTCATTACAGTAATTACATTACTGCCAGCTCTGTCCATAAGCTTAAAACCAGTTGATACAAACGTGTCGAGAGTAAGTACAGAACCCATTAAGGAGTAACTAAGGGCGATATTAAAGCATGAAATGCTGGTTAACGGAGCCCCTACCGTGCAAGGGGTACCTGTGACAGGAGATGTTTGATGAGTAGCGTCACCACAGACCCCGAGCCATGCGAGTTCGCCCGCCCATGCTAGGCTGTGCGTGGCTCTCACGTGTCCGGGGACAAGAGCATCCTGGTGGTTGGGTCGAAATCGGGGTAGGTTTGAACCCTTCGGGGCTCCCATTGTCAAGGCAATAATTTATTTATTTATTTTTTCATTCATAATGCAGGCCATTTCAGGCCCAAGCAGAGTGGGGCAACAAGAAAGAAAAAAAAAACACAACTAAGCAGAGTAAACCAACAAATGTGGAACACTGGAGGTCACAAAAAAGAAAGAGAGAAAAAAATATCCACAGTTTCAAGGGGGTATAGATAACACAACAATGGGGCCACTGATAGCGTCTTGCAATAAGTGCAACAGAGCACATAAAAATAAAGTAAGAACGCTAGTGACACGTTGTATCTTAAAATCATCACTACAACATTATTGAAATATAACCAAAAAATAAACAACATGCGAGCGCGTTAGAAATGCGAAGAACATGCATCAGCGAATTGTTCTACGGTTGTACATGCAGCAATCCCGTCAGCTGAAAAATTCCATTAATCTACAGTTAAGGAAAATAAAGAAAACTTGAACACATTGGATGACGATCTGAAGGGTCGATTGTGGTGCGAGTTGTTTATTCTACTGGAGTGCTTGAAGGGAGGGAGCAAATACATGCATAGGATCGATACCGGTTTGCCTGTTCGCAATACAGTACAAACGTTTTAGCCTAGCTAACTTACGTCGGGCGCACAAAGGTTCTATGTTTGACAATGACAGCATCTCAGTGATAAAATCCGTCTTTTTGTACCCGCCGTACACAAATCGTAGGCTCTGGTTTTGTATACGTTCGATTTTAGAAGAATCAACTTTGGTATAAGAATCCCATTCTACAGTAGCGTACTCCAACATTGGCCTTATTAGGGTTTTATAGGCGGTTAGTCTAGTGGATATTGGTGCCAGCTCTAGTTTTCTTCTAATGAAACAAAGTTTTCAGAAGGCAGCTTAGCATATATTATCTACATGCAAGCTCCAGCTAAGGCCAGAAGTGAGCTTTAATCGCAGATATTTCACGGAGTCGACATTGGAAACGGTGGAGCTATCAAAAAGGTAATCAAAACTTGAGAACTTTTTCCTTAGTGAATGTGATCGCTACCGTTTTTTTTTTTTTTTTGTAGATTAAGCTTCATTTGCCATTTCTCGCACCATTCAGACACTGAACACAAGGCGTTGTTGAGCATAACCTGGTCCTCGACACTCTCCACTTCCGTATACAAGACACAATCGCCAGCAAAAAACCTGATCTGGATTTCTTTTTTATATCGTTCACAATGTCATTTATGCAGACAAGAAATAATAACGGGCCTACGACTGATCCCTGGGGGACACCGAAAAAAAACGTCAAGGCAGGGAGAACAGGAACCATTAATTTCAACATATTGCTTCCGGTTGTACAAAGAGCACTTTATCCACTGCACCAAGTCTTTATTAATACCAGCTTTTCTTAATTAAAAAAGTAGTGCATCATGGGGACCAGCGTCGAAGGCTTTCGAAAAGTCGATAAAAACCGCATCAGCTTGCCCTTTTTCATTAAGAAGCCTTGCTAACTCATGCACGGTGCAAACGAGCAGGGTAGTGGTAGAGCGATTACGCCGTAGACCATGCTGGGAGTCAGTGAAAAAATTGTCGCTCTCGAGGTAATCAGTAATATGCTTGTTTACAATGTGCTCAAGAAGTTTGGAAGATATGCAAGTTAAAGATATGGGTCGGTAGTTCGAAACGGAAAGCTTATCACCGGCCTTATGGGCCGGTACTACGCGCGCGCAGAGCCAGTCGACTGGAACAAGGTTTTTTTCGAAAAGGACGTAAATATTATACAAAGAAACATTGACATCCACTCAGCACACCTCTTCATGAATGCAGCAGGAATGTCAACTGGGCCAGACGCTTCTTTTTAATTTCTAAATTAAGTAACATATCAAAGATACCTTGGGCTGTGACAGTTAGGTCAGACATGGGAATAGAAGAACAACTTGAAGGTGCAAGGTAGTCTACTGCGTTTGTTGGTCTGGTAAAGACAGACTAAAAATATGTATTAAACTCGGTACTTATATCCCTTGGAGTATCTATGACTACATTTCGTATTTTAACTTTCTGAAACACTGCACGTGAGGGAGACAGATATCGCCAAAATTTTTGAGGAGAATCTCGCATTAAGGTAGCGAGAGTTTGCGAAAAAAAGGCTGTTCGACCCTCCATAATTTTTTTCCTCAAAGTAGAACACAGATCTTCAAAACTCGACGAGTTACAAGCCTTTCATCGGCGGAGTCTTTTAATGCGCCTTATAAAAGAAATTACATCTCTTGATATCCAAGGATGCGGCTTCTTAATGGCTATTTTTTTTTTTCGAAACAAAGCGCTCGATGCGGTAACTGTGTCTCTTAACATCTGCCAAAAGAATTCTGTGTTTCCGGAGGAATTGCTGAATGCATCAAATCTTGTTTCAAGATAGTCGAGTATACTGACATCATCTGCTCGGCGAAAATCCCGTATTAGCTTACGAGACGGAGCTTTTGCTGTAGCCTCGGGAAAACAAAAAACTAGCGATACAAGATCGTGGTCTGATACGCCTTTATGTATGCTGACCTCGCAGGGCATAGAATGACCCATGAAAGCTAAGTGAAGTATAAAACTTCTTGTTGGTGTAACCCGCGTTGGCTTAGTAACAACCTCTAAAAGGTTTACGTTGGAAGGTAGGTCAAGTAAAATTGACTCTTTTTGCGGATTTGAGGTGGTTAGTCCAATTTCAATCGATTATTCCAATCGCTTCCAATCGATTCCGGGAGCATTGAAATTACCAACAATATCTTTAGTTCTATTTCGACCTAATCCAGATAAGTAGACGTATAGCGTTTCCAAACTAATGACCGCATCTCCACGTGGTGAATGATGTTGATTGGGACGAAGCTCTGGTAATGCTGATGATACTGATTTTTTCAGTATCAGTTTGAGCATTTGACCGCAGCGCCCTCTAGTCTATAAACGTTGAGCCCATGCATGCAAGGTTTAACGCGATTATATACGCATTTGACTTCAGCGCTCTCTCCTGTATAGACGTTGAGCGGCTACATGCAACGTTTCATCCATGACATCCCCAGCCCTTGAGTTACTACCACATCTCAGAGCCCCCTACTCGTACCGCAGTCGTGGCCGAATGGTTAAGGCGATAGACTAGAGGTGCATTGGGGTTTCCCCGCACAGGTTCGAATCCTGTGGAATGCGCAAACATTTTTTTTTTTTTTTTTTTTTTTTAGAAGACAGATCGGGATGGCAATTGATGTGAGCACGGACGCCGGACAAGGCTAGACCCTAAGGAGCTTCGCCCCTAAAAGACACCAGGTGCATTTGGAGGCCTATAAACAACGCCAAGAGCAAACACAACTTTTC